CCCCCCATTCACTTCGAACTTCATCAATCTCTTCTTGTGTGTAAGTACGCGCTTCCTAAAAAACTACACAAAGAAAATATAATTTGTTGCGTTCATATGTTTTTAAAACCGAACATAATTAGCATAATAAGGTTTGCAATTACCCCATTTTCCAGCATGTTTATCGCACCAAAGGGAGAATCAAAGAGCTCATTCATGTATCGCATTATATCGTATTCGCAATCTACATTTATAGGTTGACGAGGGCACTGCTTACAAAGCAAAATATGTTAGCTTAGCATAAATCACAATAATAGAAATTCTTCCATCCTTGTCCATTTGTATGTTTTTGCCTCTTCTTATTTAAGATCACAAACTATCATTGGTGGTGATTAATATGTAGATAAGAGAACACACATCCAGTTCAATTTAATCAAGATCTATATCCAAATCCAACTGCTCGCCACAGGGATTTAATATTGCTCCTTTGAATGATGAAAGTTTTTATCTTCTTCCAAAGGATCAGAAATAAACACTCTAGTGGAGAATAACAAAGACTTTCGCAAGGACTTTTGTTCAAAGAAATATCTCTGTTTTTCCTCACCTATTTTTCTCCCTCTTTTCCTACCCCAATTTACACGTTCGGTGAAAATAATTTGTGTTTCCACGAACTTGCAAGGAAGGTCCACTTATTCAGAGTACTTGACTAGAGATGAATGCTTGCACAGTATACGCCTTCAATAATTGTGAGTTGTCATGGTCAGTATAATAATGTAATTTAACAAAAATGATATATATTCTGTAATTTTTCTAAAATAGATTTAATTTAGTTTACTGATTTAAATTTTACTCTATTAGTAAGAATTGTTATTTCAACTATTATATTAGTTTTTTTATGGCTAAATCTGTGTATATTTATAAAGCTCAAAATTATTTCTACTATAAATTAAATCGTTAAAAAACTAATTCAATACTTAAAATATAATTTTTATCGTCAGACATAATCGTCTTCTCTACCATAAATGTTCTCAAATTTCACAGTAAAATTTTTTTATTGGAGGATGAAAGATTAAAGTTGTGACGCCCCTCCTATGAGGCCGCCACTGTAACTTAAACTTTAACTTGTACTTACTGGGGTTTCTTAAAATTTGCGGAACATTTTTTTTTTTTTAATATAAGAAAGAATACTTTCATAATTTGTAACAATAATTTCAAATAAGTGAATCACTAAATTTCTTAATGCTTTTCTTAATTTCAGTTAAGATAAAACGTTCTAAAAATATCTTTCAAACAGAGCAGCATTTGAACTCTTATTTCAAATGCTCTTTAAAAGTCTTTCTAAAACTAGCCAATTCAATCGGGCCATTTAATTTTGACTTTAAAACGGATTTCGTGAGAAATCTTAAATTCAAGTACATTTTAAAGCCCTTTTAAAATCAATCATTTAAATCGTCATGTTTAAAATTTATTTATTTGTTGCA